CGAGGAACACACGGATTTAAAATTGGTTAAAATCTACCAACTTACTGGATCCATGACTTCAATGGTTCCACTATGATTGTCGTGCGAATGTGTGCCAAGGACAATGAGACCGAGAATGTTCACAAGAAGCCCACCAGCTCCAACATAGATCATGAGACGGGGACTGTCGATAAGTTCTGGTTTGACAAACCTCTGAATAGCCTCCATCAAGATTGAGATACAGAAAGTTGATAACATCACAGTGTTAATCAGGCCGCCCATTACCTCGGCTCGCTGCCATCCAAAAGTATTTTTAGAGGAACTTGGCCACTTTGCAATGCGTGTTGCTATTATACCAATTATAAGTGCGATTAAGTCTGAAAGCATATGAAATGCGTCCGCGACGAGTGCCACTGATTTGATGACGTAGCCTACGATCAACTCAACAAGGAAATACGCAGCAACCAGAAAAAGCATACACGACAGTCGCACAGAATTTCCACAACCTCTGCACGCCATGTCAGCGGCTTCGAAAAACGGAACAAGGTTATAGGTACAAAAATGTGCCGTTTCCTGCCAAGAAGTGTCTTGCGTTAATCCGTCGCAAGAGAACTGTGAGAATGCAACATCGTTCAACGACACATAAAAAGACCGAAAAGACCGCCCACTTTTGCATCGACTTTAGAGTGCCAAATTGGTGCAACAAACAAATTCAAGCTCTGAGTCTGAAAATCTGCTTACCATGTACTCCCGTGTGATTGCTGTGTCAACCGTGAAAAACCCGTCGGCCAAGCATTGTTCAAACAGAGCATAAGTAAGAATTAGGTCCCCCCGGAGACGACGGTACCCCAGGGGAAAGAGATCAAGTATCGCAAGGCGCGTTTCGTAGTCCACGGATTTGAGACCGGCCACAATTCTCGTAGCGGCTTGCTGGACACGCTCGATGAGCGTAACGTCTTCCGTGCGTCCTGAGTAGACAATTTGATTGGCGTATTCCAGGAGCGGTCTGACGTAGGCCCCATAGAGTATTTGAAAGTCCATGGGAGTGCATCGGATCATCCGTAAAATGGCGAATGCCTTTTGGGCCGATTTCTCGTGGTGGAGTGAGAAGGATAAGCGTAATGTTTTCTGGTGCTTTCTCATTATGCATCACAAGGGCATTCGCTGAGTCTCCTCAGAATGACATATGGACGCACTTTTCGTCATTCAGAGGAAGGTGTCAGTCCAACGACCGCTGCTTTGCAGCGTCTACATCCATTTGGAGGGCACTGGCATTGGAACCTCAGGATTTCAAGTCGTCCGCAAAAAGTAGACATGGACTTGCGAGAACATCTTGGAGGTCATTGACGTGTTTCAGAATCAGCAGTGGTCTCAGGACGGAGCCTTGAGGAACTACAGTAGAGACCGGCGCTGGAGAAGAGTAGGTCGAGCCTATTCTCACTCGGAATGATCTGCCTGATAGGAACGCCTTGATCCAGTGAAGGATTTTCCCATGAATCCCGTAAGACTCGAGGTTGTGGAGCAGTGAGACGCATGGGACCCTATCAAATACTTTTGAGAAGTCGAAAAATATGGCATCCGATATGAGTCCTTCGTCCTTGGCTTGGGTTAGGCTGTCCATAAACACGAGCATGTTTGTCACGCAAACGCGGTGTGGGAGAAATCCGTGTTGATCTGGAGATATCAGGTTGCTGGAAGTAAGGTGAGCTAAAATAGCTCGCTTCAGAATGCGTTCCATCACCTTGCACGGCACGCTATTGAGGCCTAAAGACCTGAAGATGCTAGGCAATAGTCGGTCGCCAGTTTTATAGATTGGCGTGACAGTTGTTTCCTTCTCGTGAATAACACAGAAAGTCAAGGAGGTAGAAACGAATAAATCCAGCAGCTCTCGCGAGGATTCGGTGATTCACTCACTGATAACAAGATTGAAGATTCCATCCAGGCTTGTCAGGTGAAGTACGTTCTTCCCGATCAGGCAACTCGATTCACCTGAAAGTTGTAAGTGAAAAAGGAATGCAGGACTGCTCTAGAAGACACCAGATCAGGAAAGTAAATCTTGCCAACGCGGAAAATCAACTAAGAATGTGCCTAAAAGTGGTTTTACTTGGTTCTAGCTGTGGCGCGAACAACCGTTGGAGGAAGGTCGCTCCACAAGGCGAATACCAGAAATGAGTAAAAATGCCCAATAAAGTTCCCCGCAAAAAGTAGACATGGACTCGAAGAGACGTCTGAAAGGGCGCTGATGTAGATCAGAAACAGCAGTGGTCCCAAAACGGAGCTTTAGTAATTCCAGCCTAAAAGTGGTTTTACTTGGTTCTAGCTGTGGCGCGAACAACCGTTGGAGGAAGGTCGCTCCACAAGGCGAATACCAGAAATGAGTAAAAATGCCCAATAAAGTTCCCCGCAAAAAGTAGACATGGACTCGAAGAGACGTCTGAAAGGGCGCTGATGTAGATCAGAAACAGCAGTGGTCCCAAAACGGAGCCTTGAGTAATTCCAGTGGAGAAGAGTAGGTGGGGCCTACCTTCATTCGGAAAGATCTGTCTGATAGGAACAACTTGATACCGTGTAAGATTTTCCCTCGAATCCCGTAATACTCGAGTGTGTGGTGGCGCGGGACGTGCGGGTCTCCTTCAATTGCTCCTGATGGGTCACTGAGTAATCGTTGATTGCCAAGAAGAGACTCCCGTTGTCTGTTTTACTTCCTATTTTATTGTTTCCCAGAACTGTCATTCGTCGGCAGGAACTTTTCGCCCAAATCTCTCCGACAAGCTTATTGATCTGGGTCTTTATCGTACGGAGATCAATTTTCCGCACTTGTTTTTTAAAAGTTCAATGGCTACAACATAAATTTCGCGCAATACCACATTTTTGACGATTGGATTTGTTGAGGTTGCAGGGTTCCAGAAGGACGCGCGTCCATCGGTTCCTTTGCCGCGGTTTGACAGACAGGGTGTCCCCGTGGCCGACCAGATGGACGCCAAAATCCCTCGTGATCAGCATGTCCAAGGCGGATGGTCAATAAATTTCCGGCATATTTCTTCTAGGTTTGTGATTCTGCTATTGGCCTCACGAGTGCTAACTGCGTCCGTAATGAGGTGGGCTACTTTTGGTGGCCATGGGTTCCCACCGCATCCCATGACGTGTATGCCAACGGTTTTGTTCGGTCTGCCTGCAAACTCCGGTTAGAAATATTGAACAATTTGAGGTTTCCTATGGTACCGTCTTTACCGGCCTCGGGGGGTTAGGGGTTTAAAAGCTTCTGGCCACTAGCCGCCTTTTTGGACATAGTGTGGAGTTAGATGTTGGGGGTTTGGGGTCTGGCAACCACTTAGAAGAGAAAAACGGGAGTGTTGTCTTAATGAGATGCTTCGGAGCAGGTGGAGGAATGACTGATCTTGGGAGGCAAACGGTTGAGATAGCTCTAACGGAGTGGGAAAACTCTGGGTCGTATTGCGGGGGCCACAGTCAATCTTGGGCACCCATGTGCGCTGGTAGTTAAGATAGGACAGTGAAAGTGTGGGACAGTGGCGGCACGTCCATAGGGGCGATTGTGTAGATGAGGGCTAAACGCTCTGGGGACTAGCATTGATTAGGTCTACCGAAGAAGGGGGACTAGTTGGCTTTCCTGAGCGCAGCCAATAGTTATCTAGCGGGAAAAAATGATCAAAGACGGTGCCCATTATCCGCACAATGCTCTCAGCTGCGAAACGTTTAGAAGTGGAGTAAATCCCTCCGCGCAGAAATGTTGCATTTTGTTGCGCATGCGCTCAAACTAAAAACCATCTTAATCCACTTTCATCATTTTGCAGCCTAACAATGTTGGTTGTTCACTAAGGCAACCATTCCTCTGAGTGAAAAGGCTTGTGAGATAATTTCCCAGCATCGCTGAGATCCCAAGATGCCTAAACAATGCTCAAAAGTTTACACCGGCACTCTCAAGTCAACCGCTTTATTACCCTAGTCCATCAGAGACACGTCATGACTTTCGAAATTTCAACTCGATTATGCGAATACTGAGCGCTGTCAAAGACCTATGGATGGGTTGGAATCAAAAAACGTTCCTACAACACCTGACCTTGAACTTTTAATATCGTGGTAGGCAAGGTAGGCGATTCCGCGTGCTGTCACGGGTATGCGGTTCGCCGTTCGCCATTAGATTAGGTATGTGTGCAAAGTTTAGGCGTCGTATTCATCGGTTTGCATAAATACTGGCCGGGTGTTTGTCATAATTAGCAGAGATAAGCGACAACACGCACAGTAACGAGGACGATAGATTAGGTTGGATTAAATAATCGACTATTCAACACCACACATGGACACGGACCTAGCGGGTATGACAAGGGTTCAGGTAGGGAGACATACAGTGCAGTAATGATTGTGACAAGCCGTCAGATTAGGCTATCACGCATAGTTGAGACCTTATTTTTACCGGCCCGCATGGATACTGGCCTGGTGTTTACTGTTGATGGCAAGGATAAGCGGCTTTGAGTATAGCTGTGGGCATGCTAGACTGTTATTGCCATTGGATTATGTTACTGTGCATAGTTGAGGTCTCATAAGAAGCGTCTCACATGGAAACAGGCCTAGCAGTTACAAACTGCACACCCCCAGCTGAATCATCTCAAATGTGAAATCCGTCGCGGGGCTGTCCAAAAACTGAAGTATGTTAGGCTAATGATGACACGGCACTGCCATACTCAGTTTGATAGCACACCCGAAACTGTTCCATTCTTCCTGTCAACCGTGCCGTCTAGCCTACTCGCTTCATTGACCCCAACGACCACCATGATATTCATTCCAACCTATTGGACCACTCGTTCGAATTCCACCACCTATGTGTCCCCATCCAACCTCACCCTTTCACCTAACGTCCCAACAACACTGCAACCAGTGAATCTGCTTGTTCTCAGATTGCACCATATTTTTGAGACTAAACTTGCCGTGATCTCCCAGGCCGAATTATCCCATTTCCACCTCCACTTTTGCTCGTTATGACTCCGGCCATTTACCCAACCGCCCAAGGTCCCTCATGGCCAGCAATGGTTTTCCAGTTTTAGGTCATGTCAGCCGACTGAGTCTTTGAATTAGTCGGCCTTCATGCCTATTACTCCCTACAAGTTGCAAAAGAAACATTATTATTATGTAATCGAGTACCTCCCACCGTTTATGACATTGACCCCTTTCCGCACAATCCCAGCCACCCGCAAATCCCCCTATTATACCCCAGCCTGACTGTAAACTGACGATCATGCCAGACGGTGGGCCACCCACAGGTTGGGAATATATATTATTATTATTATTATTATTATTAAGTATTCGAGGTGAGTGACAACGCGCGGAGTTATGAGTACGAGGGGCCATCATCGGTCGTGGGTTAGGCTGCCGTCCATAGATACGACCATTAATCAGCGTCGCACACAGACATGGACCCAGAAGTTCGAATAAGTATTCGAGGCGGGTGACGTCGGTTACCGTTAGCATGACGGCAGCTTCATGGTGGTCACCACCTATAGAGCGTCATATTTATAATAGGAATGATACATATCTATCTATGATCTATCTCGTAACACTGCATTATCCACAGGCTACTTATGTATATCTAAAAAAGGAGGTCATCCACAGAGATGATCTTCGCATCGCCACTGTTGTTGTATAATAATGTTCCTCACAATGGAAGGTAGGGTCCATGGGAAAACTGTTGTGACCAGGTTTGTTAAGCCTGAGGAGTGTAAAGCAAACAAACGCCAATGACCGATCTTCCAGGATGAAATTCGCATTAGATATCCTTCAAATGCTTTTTATTCCTAACGAACACCGAAGAGGGCCATAATATGCTGAAGTGCTATTTCGTGTTTTATCTCACGTAAACAGGTAACAAAATGTGAATCGGCCATGGTACGTGACCGTGACATTTCGCTCACTTAAAAAAAGTGCTACGAGGAACATTTCATCGGAAGGTGCAAATGGATTAGACTAACTCCCGTAAAGTCAAAACTTCGAAAACTCTATAGTTTCGGCAAAAAAACTTAGACGTGCTTCTAGTAAGCGTCCCAGTTTCAGGGTGATTACAAAAACTGCATAAGGTTATGCTACACTCTTCGCGAGGATGACGCCTCGATGCATAATGCATTTTTCTGCGA